GCAACACGTCACGAACGTCTCAACGTACCCCAGCAACACGTCACGAACGTCTCGTCATGCGTCATTAAAAGCATTACTCAAAGCTCAGGCCAACAGCGGACTTATTCGTTTCGGTGACGAGAGAAAAAAAAAACAGGGATTAGAATTGCGCCTATAAATAGAAGAAAAGTTATAAACTGCGAACAGATTAGCACACACAATACGTTTCAAATTAAGTTAATTATTGAATATTACTAAACCATCAATTCATTGATAAAATTGTCCCGCGAATCCGAAGAAAATAACTAAAAACTGATAATTCCACTATAACTTTAAGAAAGCTCTGGTTCAGACCAACGACAAGGTTATTTACGACTCAAACAGAGCGTATAAATATTGAATATTTTATGTAAATATAAATATTTTATGTAAGAGGAATATTAGTGGAGAACTTTTACACATCTAACAGAAACAAAATGTCGATACCTTGAAAATTAAGCGGCTTCTTGAAGTTCTCTCCTAGGAATTTCAGTTTAAACTTCTTTTCCTTATTTGTCGGAAATTGATGGTTTGGGCATGAGTATTTAATTTTGCCCTACTTGCGAACAGTTTCATTGGTTTTAAGAGTTTTTTTTGGCTGATCATTGGTCCCCTTGATTTTAAGCCCATATTTTTTATTGTTATTTTGATATCATCTTTTGTAAATTGTGAGTATCCCTGGTACGTTGGCCTAGGCCTTCTCTTCGGTTATCTAAATTTGGAACGTTCAGTGATAGAATATAATTGGAACTGGAAGCCAACAATAGGATATCGTTTCTGGATTGCATTGTAACTAAATATAGCGGTTCCTTTCAGTCTTCTGTTTGTCGCAAACGAATGTCACTGGTGTGGGCTTTTGATTCTTTAGCTTTTGTTCATTTCGTTTTAAATAGCATGAGCTTCAGACATAAATACACCGTGGCTATCGACCTTAGTTCGCCTACCTTGCTACGAATTCAAAATTCGAGTTAATTAGGGATACATTATGTCTGGATGAGTTTTAGCCAAACCTCGTATTTACTTAATTCATGTAATTCATCGCACTATGTCATACTTTGGAAAAAGTGCCTAGATTCCTAATGTTAACTTGAATTGAATAACGGAATAACGGATAAATAATTTTGAAATTGATTACTTATTCTGGTATAAGGATGTCAGTCCCACTCTTATGTAGTTATATGCCCTGCTTTACGAGTTCAGTTGGCGTACTGCTTCTCATCAGCGTAAGTCGGAATGACATCGCGTAAGTTCTTCATTAGATTGGCCGAACACCAGGGGAAGGAGTTTTTAGCGCATTTTCTCATTTATGAAAAAATGCACTATTGTGCTCGCCATGTCCGTCTGTCTGTCCGTGACTTCATGTTTCGTCGACGAGATTATGCGCTCTCTGTCACTCGATCACTGCAGTGAGTACTGAGTTATATTTTTTGCAGATTTGGACATCCCCAGTCGCCTTCACACCGAACAGTGCAAGTAATGATGTCTGAGAACGATTTCATGATTCTACGATTTTAAAATTTTAGGCTCCACCTTTGTTGCATTAGATTTAAAAATCATGGAATCGTTTCATGATTTTCTTAGAAAAAGTTGTTATATAGTTTTTACCCGCTTGAAACTCTCAATCGAAAGGTTTTATGTTACATCGTCTGTTCATAAGGCTATCCAAATTTAAATATTTGCCATGTAAATTTGATCATACTAATAATTATACTTCTATTCGCAAAGTTTTTGAACTGAGGTAGAAGCTTGTCAATGAAACGTTTTCAATAAAGCTATAGTGAATTTGTACGGCGCTTTTTACGCTTGCCAAGTGGATAAATTATTGGTAAATTTAGGGCTTACGCAAACAAATTATATAAATATCTGTCTAAATGATAAATATAATTTTAAACATTATTTATGAATTGATTTTAATTACTCATCGCCTGGCCTGTTCTTATTAGATTGATCTCCTAGTCGATCTAAGATACGATTGATCTCCTAGTCGATCTAAGATACGATTGATCTCCTAGTCGATCTAAGATACGATTGATCTCCTAGTCGATCTAAGATGCGATTGATCTAGTCGATCTAAGATACGATTGATCTCCTATAGTCGATATAAGATACGATTGAACTCCCAGTCGATCTAAGATTCGATTGATCTCCATGTCGATCTCCAAAGCGCGGATGGATGGCTGATGGATCTACTCTCTGATTTATGGATGTACTCATCGAGGTCTCCGCCCAAGAGATCGTGAACATCATGAAAGAGATAATTAAGACCTAATGTGTTGCTGTCTCAGACGTTATTAACGAAAAGGAACTCGGTTCGCTCCAACAAATGAGCTCCACAAAGTCTAAGCACATGAGAAATTTTTATTGTGGGAAAGTTCAAGATTCGACTCGGCAATCTAACTTCATAATTTGCTCATAATAGTTTCGAGATTGATAGTAATTTCGTAGTTTAATAAGATGAAATGTATCCATGCCACAAACTTATTTAACTTCAAAGAATATTCATTTCTTAGGGTTCACATTAAGTCCCGCGGAAAGAGTGAATTATATAATGTGAATATGCAAACCGGTCATATACATTTTCCTGTACACATCCACAGTTTCGACTGATTTTGTATAAAGCGAACAGAGTAAACTTAATTTAATCGCGAAATAAGTCCAAGCTTGCACCTTCTTAATGTTATATGAAGAAAAATTCCGGCTACCTTTTGCTTTGACTTGTGTAGCAATGAACTTGTGTTTTGTCTGATAAGATTCTCATACTTCAATCCATCACAGTCGACACAATAATTCCATACTCCGCTGGCTGTGGCATTTACCACACGAAACGACTTGGTAGGTAATTCGAAAATTAGGGCGATTTTGGAGGCATCATTTTGCTTCATTTAAGTGATAACACTGTTTTACGCACGATTTTGGATTGATATACACTCACAACAACGCAAGTCACGCGCATTGTCATGTTCTTATGAAAGATAATCGATTGATTTACGTTCACAACCAAGCAAGTCAAGTGTGTGGTGTCTTGATGGTTCAAAATTCAAGGCGTCAAACAAAAACATGAGCGGGTTCAACGCTTCTATCCTTAGTATCTGAATTGAGTGAATGGAGTTCATCTAATGAATAAACTTGAAATAAGCTTTCTGTCTAACAAACCTTAAATAAAGATGATAAGGGACGAAATTCGAAATTATTCCGTCAGCATTGGTATCCTTTAGTATATTTTTTCACTAGCCTACAGCAAATGTTATTACTGAACTTTGAAGATAATGAAATGTCTCAACAAACAAAATAGGCTGAAATATTTAACATCTAATGCCACATATAACAACTCGCAGAACAATCTGTTGGACTGAGGACTAGCCTCACAGGAAAATTAGGTATGAAATAATTTAAGTTTAATTTATTCCTTCGAAATTTTATTAGTCTGCAATTTTATGAGCCTGATTATTTAGCTAACCATAAAAAGTTGTTATGAAATTTTTGTAGTCTCTGGAGCTGAGAAAGCCGCTGATCGAAAGTTAGGCAAAATGAAATGCACTTCAGTTAACAATCTAAGAACTAATTAAGTTATACGAAGGAAATCTTAGAATTTTTCGCTTTATCACGACTTAATTTCAGACAGTTGTCACATAAACAATGTCTGGAGACGTTAACTTAATTCTCTGGAACTGTGCGGGTTTTCCTGGAGTGACGAAAAATAAACTGATCATAATCATAGAGTGCGATTGCATCGGGGTAACCTGGACTGATTCGTTTTCTTTATTGTTGGTTGTTATGGAGATTTGCTGCATTCAAATTCCCGAAGAAGAAATTAGAATTCAGAATATTGTAAAACATGAAAAATATTTGACATTGGCCGTTGTATATTAATTATTTTGGGTAGCGGTGAACGTGGGCGTGGAGATCGAGAAATGTTCAGAGCGATCAATCCGTTTAAACGAGCTATTATTATTAGGGCTGCCCCGTATAAGAAGTGAAATTGTTTGGACTGCTTAATTTTAGAGCTCATATCAGCGCCAAATGATTTATGATATTGTAACGGCATGTCTGTAACTTTTGTGGACTGTTAATGGGAATTCTGTGGACTGTTTGATTAGTCATCGCTTGTTATAAAAGGTGAAAATGTGCATTGAATTTATAGATTTAATAATTTATCCAGTAATTCTTGTCCCGTAGTTAATTTGAATGTGTTCCAAACACCGACGACAGTTTCTTCACCGACAAGCCGAGAAGAGTTAATTTATTTAAATTTTGAGGGCGGGAGTTTCTCAACGACGCCCAACGCAGATCATGGCTGTACAGTTGCTTAGCTACGCCCTAAGCCGATCATAGCTGCGTTACTCACTGATCCATATAAACTAACCAACCGCCTCGTTTGACCTACGGTCGGATCCCGGCATTTGCTCATGCCCGACCGAACCATTTTAGACAACCAACACGACCGGCTTCCCACACGCGACAGCTTTCACAAACAACTAACATTCGCAAGCAACGAACTTCATTACACAGACCGGGATTTGAACCAAGCAAGGAGCGACTCGAGACAATAAGGAGATGCGGACTGAACTGATCTGTCTTTACCATAATAGGACACGCGCAGTGTCGTGCACACGATCTGCAGGCATCTGGAAGCAACCAACGCCATGTATTCAACCCCGGGTACTGTTGTACGTGTTAACAGGCGCTCTTTTTCTCGTTTTATTTTTACAGAACGAGTCGTGAACAATTGATCTATTTCTGTCTCCGCCACTGATGATTAGTATGGAGAGTAATTGATGACGGGCAATTGGTTTTAATTTTCAGATATTGCGACACTTTATTTGTTATATAAAATATCTTGATAGTTGATTAAATAAAAACTCGAAATTTTGCATTCTTCTTTCCAGAGTTTAATGAATATCGCACATGACGCGACACTTCCATTCGCAGGAAATAGCATCCTAAACCATGAAATGGGGAATGAAACATGGTTTTCTATTTTCATTTTATTTCAGCCATTACATTTTTTATTTCAGCACAATCATCAAGTAAAGCGTTTTCTCATTGAATCCCTTTCCCTCTGCTACTCGAGAGCTAATGTACGCTGATATACACATTAGGACAAGAAAAAAACTATTCAGAAACACACGAAAAATCATGAAATTAAGATAATTAAAACACTTTGAATCATATTGTCCATTGTTAACAACAGCTTTTATGGTAGGTACTCAACCAGTGCCATAATTTGTCAATTTGAAAAATCCGTGCGAGGCTAAAACAAAAAATTTTAGAATTGCATTCACATCTAACAATGGAGTGACCTTTAATTTTTATTACAAAAATAAAGTATAAATACGAATTGTGGAGGCCATTATAAATTGTCTTCAAAGAACAAATTGAGATTAGTCACTCAAAGAAAGTTCCAACACTGGCCTATAAAAAGAGATTTCCTCAATGCACGGCAAGAAAATCCAAGTTCGGAACAAACAAAATTTTAATCGTTTCCAAGATGCAAGATTTTCACCATGAATTCTTTGTTAAATTAATTAGCACTCGACATTTTTGTTGTAAAATTTAATCTGGTTTAGGTTGCCTAAGCAGGAGTCTTTGGGATGGGATCGTAGGACATGAAAACTTGACCGAGTGAGACAGAACAACTATGGATGAGGTTCGTAAAAATGATACAAAAATATAACTAGTTTATAAGTGAGCAAAACATCTAGCTCAAGCACCGAACCTATGGTTAACTGCTTGACTATGGACACAACTTACCTACTGCACACTCACTAAATCTACGATATAAGTACACGAGTCTCGAGGAGCTTTGCCCAAAGCTTTAAACTGCACGGGCGTGGAGAGAAGAGAGCATCTTGTCGCTCAAGTTGCATATTTAAATACTTTTCTACTTTTGTTTCCAATTAAAAAAGAAAATACAAAAACTGCAACCGAGACTATATACTTTAATGCTATTCGGAATACAGACTTCTTATAAAGCTTCGAGTACAGCGCCTCAATCTAGCAATTACCGGGAAATGTACAAAAATGGAAGCTGATAATTTGCAACTATTTGTCTTGGATTAACTTGCCTCACTCGAGTTTTCACATGAACGATCCCTAGACTAACAGGATTCAATGACTAAAAAGACACTGACGCGTGAATTTCGGCTCGTTTCCTTCTACTACGGAAAGGCAGTCAATCACCGAGAGTCGTCAAGTCACCGTTAGTGATAAGGTACAATCAAGGGCTTTCGCGGCTTTACAGTAAATCCTAAATAAGCGTTAGATTTTGAAAAACTAGTCGGAGCATGACCGTACATAAAATATGCTAAACTTCGAGCAGCACACAGGACAGGTATAAAAGTCTTCTGTGGTCAGCTTTAGCGGCTAAGCGCTTTCGCAGCGAACTTGCTTACATCCTGCATTTTTGTGAGCATGTAATTAATTCATTGGATCATGGATAGCACGATAATGGCTGATAGTAGCATAGGAACATCCACGCTAGGCTTCGAGTGGAGAAAGGGATTGCAAGGAGAATTTGACATGATTGAACGATATTTTGAGGACCATGTACTCATAACATAACTCGTATGTAAGACAACGCTTTTCTAGTAGGCATATTTATCTTTAGCAAAATTCATCACAAAAGCTTTTCACAAACTTGCTTCTGCGTTTATCAGAAAAGTTGATGAGCATATTTCACTCACAGTAACTGGAGATATTGAGTACACTGATACTTGACATGGTCTGCAGTGATGATTCGAAACTTTCTGGAGGAACCATAATGACTCTTACTCTACAGGGCCCCAAAATGACCAAACAAGATCGTAGCTATGATTCTTCAATGAAAATTTGCAAGTTTAATTGAAGAAAATCAAACTTACAAGACGGCAAGGGGAAATGGTATTCGGAAGTGCTAGGTACCAGAAAATATGGGGCCAAAACACGCTTAGATGTTAAACATACTAGCCTGACGATTATAAGGCAGAACTAGACTCAAAACGAACTAAATTTACATGTGTACCTTACAAGTTTATTATGTTGAACTATAGCGTTATTGTATTCACACGAACTATATAAGCATCTATGGCCAGTCAAAAGCTGGATAAAGTTTGCTAAAAACTACTTTACAATGTCGTCAAGGCATCTTAAGTTAAGAAAAACCGAACTTATCCTAGAAACTACGACATTCGAGGTACAAGAATTTGGCTTAATTAATGAACTTATCAGTAATAAAACCAGTTTAATTGAAATACGTAAACTAATCAAACTAGGGAAGGAAAGTTATCTAGATAGAGCGCGTTGAGTGGTATTTCAGATTAGCTAATTACAACATTAGCATTCAAACTACCTAATTGCAAAAAAACACGTTATATGAGGCAAGGTTTGCAGAACATAGAATGCGAATGAGCACGAAAACGATTTTAGTCACTCACCATGTCCAGTTTGAGGTACTCGCACGTCAAAGTACACTCAAGTGCAAATGGTTAGGTTCTTGGATAAGTTCGGTGTCCAATTTAATTTCAAGTTATTACAATAATTTAATGCTACAAAAGGATGACTAACAAAATTTCTGGTGGCTTGATTACTGAAAGAACTGAAGGTCATTACATTCTCGGAGCCAAAATCAAAGTAAAGATTTAACATTAAAATCAAACGATTGTATCAATATGAAGAAAGTAATCGGTCTCATAATGCCCACGTCATTATACATACGCTCTATGAGAAGAGTGGTAGATCAGGTACAATGGACGTTGAATATTAAATAGGCTCGTACAACAAGTCATAGGTAAAAGAACAAGTCGTACGGAAGGCTTACCGTAAATTTCCATGAACAACAGGCGTCGAATGCGACCCGTTGTGCACACACATACGTGATCAAAAGTCTGAAGGTGTTTTACAACTAGTGCTAATTACTATTCATACAACTAGAGCTTAAAACTATAAACCGCGTAACTACACAAAAAATCTACGCGGATGAAAAACTACAAATAATTCTAACTAAAACTAAGGATTCGAAAACCATTCGAGAAATTACACACTAAGACATTAATTGTATTTATTTGTTGTCACATCAAATTCGCCTCTTCAGGTATCATGTCTAAAAGAGACGACGACGTCGTTGCCAGCAGTCCTAAAAATTTCAATGATTCGTCACTGGACGACAATTGTTCCATGATCAATTTCTGCGGTTATATAAATATGGGAATACAAATCTAGCGATGAAGGCAGGTAAAATTTCAGCTCCCAAACCAACGGACGAAACAACTACCTTTAGTGCGTTTCTACCTTCAACTTCAGTTATCCGCAAAAATTCAAACTATAACTCACCAACAATGAGCGATGGAACATAAATGGTATCGTCAACAATACCAAGTAAAATGCATATATATTTTAAGCACCTACGCACAAAGAACAATGTCAATTTTGACGCGGCCAGTCCAAACATTCGTGTGCTATCGCGTGGGCATTGATTTGGATTGAGTTTAAAAGCATTGAAACTCAATAAAAACACAGCTCGATAAGGCGTCAATGAAACAATCTACAATTAAGTTATTTTCAGAAATTGAAACCAGAAATACGAAATTATCAACTTAAAATTCCTCATTGCTGCAACAATAAGCAGCCAATCAGGAAATTACCTCCAATTATTGTGGACACACGAATTCATAAAAGACTATTTAAGAACGATCAAGTTCAAGTAAGTGCTCAAATTACTATCCTAAAAGCTTAGGTAATGTCAATTCATCGTTGACTTGGTACTTCCCGTGATTTAATGTTTACATTAATTAATTTAAAGAAGAGAGTGCCAGACGCAAAGAGAAATCGGAAATTCCAGCTACTATATAGAGCCTCTCAATATAGGTAACAGAATCCCAACAACAATAGGCAAACATTTCTCGACTGGCAGCGAAAAAAGAAATACTGCAATACCTACAGTAGACTCTCACAGGTTGGTTATTTAGCAATTTCTACAGCAGAATTTGTCGTCATTCCTAAATGGCGAATTTCTAGAAATAAATGGGAGCCATCCTCTTTTCTTAACGAAAAAGGCACCAAAATGAAAACGCTTTTCGGTAAGCTAATGAAGACGTGCTTCTAAGCAGACGTGCCAAAGCTTCTACCAGTTGCACAAGTAGGGTAAATTAACAGTTAACTTAACGATACCAAAAGGAACGTACGTAGAAACAAGAAAATAACGATAAAAATAGCGTCCATCAGAGTGCTAATTACTTGAAGTGACAATTTCAGTCCATAAGTACAGAAAACCTAGAACAGTTTCTGAATTCCAAGAAATCCGCAGTGAGAACAATTCAAATTCTCTACTGGAAAGCCAACAGAGAGAACAACCCACAGCTCAAGTCTTTTACTAAAACGACTAAGGAACAGATTAAAAAGAGCTGCAAATTAAGTGTCGCAATGAGCCGACAAATCATTTAGTGTCAGTCCAACGTGCCTACCACACTGTCAATACCTACTAACAGTATAAGAGAGTGAAGAAGTAAGAAGAGAAGCTGATGTTAATTAGTCGCACAAATACTAGTTTCAACCAGGAATCGTCGGGCAGAAAAGCCATGAGCAAATTTGCACTCAATATAGGAGGAATTCGTTGACCTATAGCTACTCTACTCATTCGTCGGCTGCGTCGATATTTTCATCAACACCAATTTATAAGCAAAACTTAAAAATTAATCAAGTATTCTGACGTTGGCAAGCGATTCATCAATGAAAAAATAAAAAAAACGGGTTACTTTCATCGAAAAGCCGCTTGCGTCAGAATAATTGGTGGCCTAACTCGGGGAAAAAACGGGACATTGAGCAAAACTAGAGAAACTCAACCTAAAACTTAAAATAACCTTAACCAATGATGTGCAATTGCGAGCAGGTGATCCCTGCACACTTCAGTTAGCACAACTAGTCACAAGACAAGTTACACTAAGGCACAAGTTTAAGTGCCCTGTAAATTAGTGTAAATAACACACCTATGATCTGATTAACCACATTTCCAGTAAAAATTCGAAAGGAGTTCGCAGCCACTCTACTTCATACACGTTTCAAACTAATCCAACACAAGGATATTCCTGAAATTTATTCCTCAACTCATAATCGTGATTCTCATACTTTAGTAAGTTCTACTGGCATTCAGTACATCAACACTCGGCATAACTTTCCTGCCGGCAGATGGTCTGGGTGCACCGTGGGCCTTTCGTCCCTTGATATCAAGAGAGCCGTCGTTTTTCTCGGCTTTCATTTTACGTTGTTCCCGAAGAGCTTCACGCCGTTGCCTCCTCACCTTGGCCAGCTTTTTCCTCAGTTTAGCCAAGCGTCGTTGCTGACGGGTACTCAGACTTTCTTCTATCACAAGTGCTTTATTAATTCGATTGCTTACGGCAAGAAGTGATTTACAGTAAGCAACACGATCATCATGTGCTCGGTGAGAGAAGATGAGCACCTTAACTTTAGGAAGCTTCGTTTTAGGAGGATCATTTTGGAGCAAGATTTGTCTAACCCCATCAAAAGCTAATCTAAGCTGTTTCCGGCGTTCTCTTTCAGATTGATTATGTAATTCACGTTTCACTGGGTCGAGGTTGGATTGTTTTCTCCTTCTGACGGGTGCAGGAATTTCAGCATTTCCTTTAGCGGCTGCACTTACAGGCACTGGGTAAATTGTTAGAGGTAACCCAGGAACAGAGGGGCCAGCTACAGGTACTGCCATAGCCGGAATATTGTTCGGAACGACGGGATCTTGTTTTGGTTTCCTGCCTCGTTTCTTCGCTGACGAAGCGTTTGTTAACGACCCACAAATAGAATTTTCATTTCGGTACAAACTATTGACAATATTATTATTAGCAGGATCGTTTCCTCGTATGAAGTAATTGGAAGGTAACGAATTCAATGGATTTGCGCCTGACCGCGGTTTACCGGCAGGTTTAGAAATGCTATACAAGGCGCTGTCATTGAATGTACGTATGTTACTGTTATGAGGTGCGAGAGGAAGAGGTGAAACTGGATCAGTATTGATAGTGGCACCAGTGAGGCAGCCAAGCCCTGGGTACAATTGTGAAGTAACACTGGGTACGGAGATGGTATTACTATTATGTGGTGGCGCGTGGTAGGTTGTTATAGAATTAGAAAGAGTGTTGGGGAGAGGGAAATGGGTAGAAGGTCTATGTACTAAACAACCATTCTCGGTTCTTTCCCCAATAGGGAGCGATGGGGAAGCTGGCGTAGGAGTAGGTAGAGGCAAGCGTTTCGAGTCGAACACTTCAATTTTCTTTATCCTCAAATTCTTTTTCTCGGTTGACATCACCACCGAACTGACTCCAGTTTTCAATGCCTTCCTGCCGCGGCCGACGGCAGCCGTGGAACCTACTAAGTAGTTAGCTCCGGACGATTGAGTGATAGCATCTCGAGCGGCCACTCTGCTGACAACTCGTGTGCGACTCTTAGCAGCTCGTTCACTACCCTCCTGAGGATCTGCACAGAAAAGAAATACGACGTTAAACAAGTTAATTTGTGGCGCTATGTTCAGTTTACAGTTTCTTGGAAATGCAACGTGTGAAATGCACACAACAGAAGCATTTAAAAATACTTTTGATAAATCAAATAAACCTGAAATCGACTACGTATATATGCCAAGACTACATGAACAACAATGATGTTCGAATTAACAAGAATAAACGTGTAGATAATAAACAAACATGCCGTTCTCACGAACGTATTGCTAGGGGCCAAGCTGCTACTACGTCTAGGCAATTTTATTAGCGGGTCGGATAAAATTGCCCAATTGCGAATTACTTCGCTTTCGAAGTCTAGCCGGCGACAGGCTTTAAAGCAGCACTGTTCGTACAACACAAACCTGACCCTGACACTGAGATCTGGTCCCTGACTCTTCCATCTACCCCCTCGCCCTCCATCTCTCTTTCCATAACTCTTCCATCTACCCTCGCCCTCCATCTCTCTCTTTCCAGAAATTTGCCGGCGCAAAACGGGAGACAAACATGGCCGTATGCATGGAGCTGCATGTTGTAAGTTAACCACCTCTCCTTCACCAGTAACTGGCAGTTTAGAAACTCAATAAGATAAATTTCAACCTAATAAAGAAAACTCTTGAAAACATCGAAATAAATACTCAATACCCATAGTTACACTTAGATTCTCTTCTACTGTACTACGATACTAACGTTTTCAAGCAGGACTTAAATTTTAAGAACCGTTCCAGCAAAAAGAGGTCGATTGAAACTCCTAAGAAACATTTGACAGACTTGATACAACATAGTCACGTCTACTGAGTTGACGAATGAATATTTGCAATTTTTTTTACAAAGCCTCGCTGCATTTCGATGGATGCTTAAAAAATGCCACGATGTTAGCATACGACTTGAATAACTCGATACGTTCGTAGCACAGCAATCAAGTGGCTCGAGTATTCCTGACCTTGATAGTAAAGTACCTGGCTGTCTCACCGCCGTCTAGACACACACTCACCAAATTGAATCGAATAATTCTCACAGTAATTCAAGACTTTACATCAGAAAATCAAGTTGAAAAATTAATGAAGCCTTCAGCTGATAGATGGTGGTAGCAAACGAAAACGTGAAACAACAAACAGAAAAAAACAGGATGCAACATAAAAATAAAAAGGTTGTAATATTTACCACAGATTGCATATCTTAGCTTATATCCGAGAAAAATGAAGCATATAAATTAAAAAAATTGTAAGTCCGCTAACGTTTCATGGCGAACGTTTCATAAAATGATGAGACTATTCAGCATTAAAATAATAAATTCCTGTTAAAAAGAGAAGAGCAGGTAGTAAAGGTGTATGTATATGCGAGAGGTAGTGATGTGGTCGAGGGAGAAGTTGAGTGCCACGAGAGAGAGTATCGATTTCGTCTGAGGCGAGACGCGCGGCAGGGCGTGTACACGTACTAGACATGAACGGGTACTAGAAGGTAACTAGCAACGAAATGTGGAGACAAAAGAAGGCTATTGTACTTTAATCAGGTCCAACAAGCCGTAACCGAAAAATAAGGCAGTCAAATACGATAGTATCCTTAGATACCTGGGTAGGAAAAATTTAAGTAGTGCAATAAGTGCATCATGTGACCACAATTCGAAGGTAAGGACATTACGGCAAGATCACTAAGTAGTAAAGAGGATAAGAAATGAGAATTTATTAGAAGTGATCATCAAAATAAAAGTAAAAATGTAATAAGAAAATATTACTAACATAAATTTTATAATTATAAAATGTTTCAGAAAACTTAAGAAACTAGTAAAATATCATACAAATAAAACAACGGTCGCAAGAAGCAGCGACGGAGACCCACAACTCGCCGGATGAAGCAAGGGGGAAAAAATGGTAAAGAAATAGTACGAGCCTCGAGCTTGGCAACAACGACAGAAGAATAGGTTAGCAACAGCCAGTCGCTAGCGACGTGGGAGAGACGCGACGCGTTAGTCGAAAGTTACGAGAAGCACCTGCTGATGTGAGACTCTTCCTGCCTTCTACACTCCGCTAATGAGGAACACTCTCCTCATTGACGTATCTCAACTGACTGGCTTATCGAAGTTTACATTCACAGTAAGGATTAATGTCTTCTTTTAGCGTGGAAATAAAATTTTTCTTGAGAAATGACGAAATTTATCAACGTTAAACCAAGGATTCAATTTCCTCTTCTCAGAAGTTCATCAACAAAGTGTACCCCCAACCACTCAGTAAATACTAAATAAGTATCCTTACTCATGGATAATGATATCGATACCATGAAAATTTTTCGATGTGCACTCGGATAATTTTTAATCAGCACAGATGCCCTTGAATTTGGGAACTGATTAAGCTAAATTTACATTTTTAGATATGTCGTTGAAAGCTATAGTAACACTATCAACCAATGCACATTAAACTCGAGCCGATCAATATAAAGCCAAGTTTGTTGAATTCACGGCCGAAAAAAAAAAAAATATTCCCTAGACCACGACGCACCTCTTGAGGCGACATAAAAGGAGAGCAGAGAAGTGAGCAGACACAAAGAGAGGAAAAGAGCCAGAGACTAGACACGCCTCAGACGCATCCCCAAACCCCACTTAGGCCGATCCCCAGTGGGGTTGCTTTCAAGAGCCGCACGCAACTAGAGCAACAGACGAAGCTGGCGTGAGAGGGGACCTGAGTCTGGTCATTATGCTCGGCTGGCTCGTACGGAACACGTGTTTCCAATGAGGCAAAAATGCCGTAACTAATTAAATTTTGGAGGAGCTTCTTACTAGAGGTGCGCTCCAAGTGTAAATCATTTTCTACGAAAAATGTAGCAATATACGAATAATAATTGACCATAGACAGTCATTAAATTCTGAAAGGACATTTCATAAGCCACTGATAATTTTGATAATTTATGATATGACAATGCCGTTTTTATCATTTATTAACTTGTCGTTTTTTTGATGAGCTCATCCAGATTTATATATTTGGTGATAGTTAGTTATTATTTCGTCTCGTATACTGCTGGAAGGAGAGGAAAAAATAGAGAGAATACACGAATAGCGGTGAGGGGCAACGGTTCATGTCTTGGAGCTTGAGTGCTTTTAACAGCTGCTCAGGGACTGATCAGAAGAGCGCTATTGACAATGATTGCGCTCAGGGGAGCGATGCTATTATAGCACAAACGACAAGCGTAGACTGCTTCTTCATGGGTGTAGGCGCGAGTGCAAAAACATGGAGCGTAGCAGGGAAAGCAAAAATTCTTACTATGTCTCATAAATCTGAGCGAAACAATTTCTTGGAGACTTTATTCTCCATAAGAGTCAGAAACCCAATTTCTTACAGTACAACAGGATTGCACGCTTCACCACAAGGTAATAAGAGATTTTCCCACGTAGCCTAACATGGAACGCATCGCATTATGATTTTCATTCAAGTTGAAGTGAGAGGATAAACCGAGGGCATGCAACGTCACGTCTTGGACGTGGTCATCATACAGCCGCCGAGATTAGGCCTACGGCCCCAACGTGTGGTTTTGAAGCGATAGATAACAGGAAAGTCATTACGCAAGTCTCAAGATTAAACACGCAGGAAATCTATGCCACTTGAACAGTTGGGAACACATTTGGACCAAGAATTAGCGCGTGCAGAGGTATCGTTTATCTCGAGAGAGGAACCGCATGAGAAACCGATCAAAAGCGAATGTTAAATAATTACATAGTAATCGATCAGTACCGTGAAATGCGTGTAAATTGTGGACGAAGGAAATGTAAATCACACTGATATATAAGGTATAAATATAAATGAGACAGTAGCCATTATGGGGGTCCGAGAAACGCGTAATGAACAAATACGTGAACAAATACAAAATAACTCGATATGGGTAAAGATTGTAACAATCAACAAATAACAAGTATTTATATAGACTCACAGACGCACATAACGAACGAAATGAACTTCACTCGCCTGAAGCAACTCGCATAATAATCAATGCAAAGGCAAGTACACACGCAGGAGCAATGAGCGAACCACATGTATCGGCTTTACGTTATTGTTGCGATATAAACGCAACACATTAATAGTGATAGTTGCCAGGAAAAGCACTGGAGTCGAGTCAAGTTGACACGCACAGACGAGTCAAAAATTGTGCACCCTATCAACGTAAAGAGTCAGAAAACCCTCTGCAGTAACAAGCATACCTCCGGTACAAACTGACAATAAGAATAGGTCGGCTGAGCAATCACACAGTAACAAGTGCCTCTTCTGTGCATACAGTTGCCAGGAAGCTACAAGGAAAGAGGCCATTAACCTATTGCTGACCAACGAGATGCTAAATTTGCGAGTTTTTCAAAGGGCGACTTGAAATAAACCGAATGAGGGTTCTTGATATATCCTTCGTTACAAATAAAAATATCCATTTTTTGCAATCGTCAGATCAGTCTTCTACAAGTCTGCTAGACTAAAGATCTGAAGCAGAAGTAGAGCTAAAAATTTAACCAATAATTAGATACTTAGATTTTATGTTGTCTGAGACAGCTTACCGAGAAATATCAGCATAATCATGAAAAGAAAAATATCTTTCACTGCCAAAAATTATTGCAACGAGGCGTTAAGAAAACCCAGCTATGAACATAAAATAACATTATTAATTCATATAATAAAATAAATACTTAATGCCCACTATTTTTAGCAGGGCTCTGTCAAGACAAAGTATTCAAAAACAAGGCAAAATAGCGAAATGTCACATGAGAGCACACCGGTTGGTGTGAATGACCGTGAGTTGGCGAGCTGCTCAAACCTTTAAAGAGACGCATGCCCTCGTTACGCAACAAGGAAAAAGGCTACGCACGATTAACAAAAAAATATGCTGCCATTTTTTAATGTTGCATGCAAGCTCTATCTCATGGAGTGACTCAGCAGTAAGCGACAAATTAACCATCAATCTTGACCAAGATTCGAATTTATTCTAAGTTGTAACTAACAAGCTCTATTTCGGTGTAATGGTTGCAGGTTTTGCGCGATGGCATTTGAGAACGAAGCATTGATATTAGATAAAAAAATTAATCCTCACTTACATTTACTGCACAAATACTTCGATGGATTTCAATGCAGTTCATATCTAAAGGTCTGACAGCAAGAAGTTTAATATTAGTAGACTATGGGTAGGAAAAGGTAGGAAAGAAAAATAATGAAAGTATTGCAGGTGGAAGGAAATAACCGAACCAAATAAGTCCCCTACAAAGCATGTGGAGATCAAATTTTTGCACACATATAGTCCGATTGGTTAAAAACATGGGAATGTCTACCAATTGAGGTCCATCTTCCATACATATCTTGCACACATATCTTGCATACCTCTTTCCCATGCCCGCCTAAGCGAAACTTGTTACGAGCAATAAAATCTACCATGCCATACCAGCGGTAGGAAAAAATTACCTTCGAAGTAAAGTGAAATCATCAGTTAATTTTCCAACGAAAAACATGGTGTATGTAATTATATTATTTATACATTTTATTCACTATAATCAAGGCAGCGAAAAAATCGACTATCGTTTATAAACGAGTTATATAGTAAAGGGATAAAGGGTACCTAATATGAGAACGGTACGGCGTAAAATTGAAGCAGAATTGAGAAAGGAGCAAGGAGCCTAGTGTGGCTAGTATTAGACCAAGATGAACGAGCATCCTGTTGATAAGATCGCGCCTGCCAAGTAGGTCTACTAAAAACTTGCAGCGGTGCTAACCCCTCCTGATGATGGCATTCACCGAAATCGACTGGCAACCAAGAATTTGCAGGTTATGCTCGAAAATTTTTACGATGCGCATCTACATTGGTGCTCTGATCTGGTAGATGCGCACGATCTGGTGCTCGTCGATGATGAGAAAACGAAGCTCGAAAATGAATAAATAATATGCACCATATCACGCTAAACAACGAAAACAGCATATATATATAAGCGGCAGGTGTATTTAAATCGAACAATCGCGTAATTTCTGGAAGACAAACGTGAAAAAATGAACAACGAGGTAGTTATGCGCTCAATAATACACTAGTACTAATACTAATTGGAAGAGGCAGACGAGACTTTTAATAGAAAAGAATGGATATGTACGGGCTCACTCAAGCGACTGCCCGGCGCGACTGCTAGCGCGACTGCGGGCACAGGGCCAGGTTCTGCGAGCTGTGGCGAAATAAAGCAGACGAGCAACAGATTTGCTGTTGCTGCTCGCAATTTCACATCGTTGGTGCAAATGGTAAATAAATACAACATAATTTTGTTTGTGTTATTCCTCTTCTTCTTCGTCGATTCATTATTATTATTAAGTACTCTAATTTTCATTATTAATTAATTGGGAAATAAAAAATCGTCTATACCGTCAACACTTAGAATTGAAATGCACGACAAAATCGAACTGCGCTATACCACCTTTTTAAAAACCGGAAATCTTAGTGTCTGCTTGCCAAGACGTGGTTGGTTCAATGAAATAATCCACACCAAGACTGAGATGAGCGAAAAAAGTTGTAGGGAAAGGCGTCGGTGGCAGCGTTCCTGCGTGGGAGAGGAGCGATGTCTAACAATACCGTGAACACACGCGTAGTCGAGCTGAGAGGGCAGTAGAGAGGAAAGACGGAGAGACATTATCCACACGAAGGGAGTAGAGGACACATCGTCGTAACTATTGTGTTCATGTATTATTGATCATAAGGTTTTGAGTATGAAGGAGTATTTATTAAATGTACGAACTACCCTGTAGAATATACGAACTAACGTCAATAGTGTCCATACCACTCATCTAAATTCTAAAATGATCAATACCGCTTTGTTGTCCCTAATCCTACAGAGCAGCTAACAGCTACAGATAACCAATAATACGTTTAGCGAGGTTGTATGTACATGTATCGTTGAAAAAGTAGCGGCTCATATAATCGAAGCCTCCATCAAGTTGTCACACCAGTTTCGTACGTGCGACGCATGTATATAGTGGCAGGGTGCAACGACTGCTGCAAGGACGCTTGAACGCTACTCGCTCTAATGTACAACTATAAAACTTGAACTTGTTTGAACATGTTCCAATATTAAAAATAAAGCGTATTTTTCTTGGATTATAATTTTGTTATGAATTCTTTTGAGAATTTCTTTAATAATAGTGATTTACTGATTTTACAATAATACACAATTTTTAGTTTTAAATAGTTTCTAGCAGTTTCTAGACTTAAGTCGATTTACTGTTCATGTATAATGATTTTCCATAGCAGTATTTATAAATAGTCAGAGCTCAGCCGATTTCTCAGATTCAGTTTTCTATTGCTGAATAATTACAGCAAGAGCTACAGTAATCATCTTGAAGTGGAATCTTCTTGGCTCGGTGCTCCAATTTTCCCGTCGGAAGATCCATTGCTCGGTGCGTTCCAGCAGCGGCGGCGTCAAACGCCCATGTCTGCGGCTGCAATGTGACCTTGAGACGACCAAAAGACGTACACGGTTGTACACACGCACACCACCGCCCCTTGGTGGCGTGCGTCAAGACTCATTTTGATCTTCTTTATAGCTCGTGCTTCTGCTCGTTTCCATTCACGTTTCGGAATATTCTAGTACGAGTCGCAAGAGCGTTATTTGTTGCATTGATAATGTTCACGAGGGACGAGGGAATGTTCACATAATTTGTTAGATATCATTACATAGATACCATCAGCACAACATACGATAGCATGCTTCAACTTTAGCAGAAACACGAAGTAGGGGGCAGATTACCATTACATATTATGTAAAACATCGAAAATAACGCCAAAGTTCATGCTTCAACGACGAGCCAACAACAACACTAAAACAGCAAGACAACATCGAGCATTTAAGTGAAGAAGCGTCAACATTATACGACAAGCAATAACGATGTACGCAGCCCATGTAGCAAGGAAGTACCAGCAGCAGCAGCAACAGCAGCAGCAGCAGCAGCAGCCAGTGCGTGTGTGTGAACGCGTGATGCAATAGCTGCTCTGCGGCTGACGCACACATGCTCGAGTCGCTGACCGCTCTGAAGGCCTGCCAGCCAACCTACCTATCGTGCAGCGCATGCTTCTTCCCTCAACATTGCCGCCAGCAATCAGTTGAATTTTAGGATCGTGTCTTGCAATAAGAGTGAAGAATGAGCATCAAGTAAAGTGGAACGCGATAGTACGACATATCATATTCAATAACGGAGATTAGTATTTCTCAGAATGCATTTAGAGGCACATGCAGCAAAATGTTAAATGATGTGCATGTAAAACCCGTAATAAGAAAGAAAAATTAAAGATTCCAAAACCGTTATTTAATCAACATGAAAGAGTTACACGCGTTTTTAATGTTCTACAATCTCCATGCTTACGGCGAAGGAATAATCAATGTCCTGAACAAACAAACAGACACAAGACCTCTCCTGAAGATGAGGCTCGAACACATTCCTCAGTCAAACTCAATTGAACAAGCTATATGATTGAGTTTTTTCTTTAAACGCACAGAACTGAAAATATTGTCAAATTTCCAATCAAAAGGTGAAATTGCAGCCTAAATAGCAAATGCCAAGTAGCTTATTAGATACAACTTTTCTCATTGGAACAACCTAAACATCATGGATTGCAAACAGATCGAAATGCGTTTCCAAAAAATTGTTTTCGGAATCGCTAGAATTGGTGCATCTACGGTTCGATAGGAAGAACTCTGGTCTGAGCTACCAAGGTTATTTCTATAGGCTAAACTCAAGTTGATCCAGACCATGCATATGCAGGAGGAAATTATTGGAAAAAACTCAATGACCGTCATCGCTACCTGGAGATGTTGAATAACTGGCAATACTATGCCGGTACAAAATATTTCACTAATTTTATTTTGTAAAAAGATTCGCTGCTAACCTCCAGGCTAGATAGTGATTCGCTGCTAACCTTCAGGCTACTAATGATCGGAAGGAAAGCAGAATGTTGAAAATTTGTGCATAATTTGGTTTTCATCTTTAAATGCTTTGAAATACAATTTTGGCACAAATAAGCCTGCTGCACCCGAAAAGGAATTGTAACCATTTCACATAACATTTAACACAGTAACAACCAACCCAATTGCTAATTAAAATTTATAAATAAACTCCAAAGTAAGGTCTTAAGGTACTCACCCATCAAAGAAAGTTTTCTCTTGGACGAGCGATTTGTTGGAATCTCGGTACTAGAAAGTTCGACGATCTCGTGTTTCGGAACGTAAGATTGGTTGGATAAAGTCGAGTAGCTGTGATCATCATATACATTTCGCATTTTCACTTCGCAATTGGTGGTTATTTTATCTTCGCAATTGGTGGTTGGGTCTCCAAACTTCAGTTTCACCATAAAATTAGGCTTAATGACTTGTGGCTGAATTGTCGGCTCTTCAGTTTTCAACTCCACTTTGAGCTGGGGCGCGAGTGCAACTTGAACGGCCAATCCGAGGTTGAATGGTTCGATATTTTTATTATATCCGTTCGCACCGGCCACCAGCGCGTTTTCAACCTTTATATCCGACTTCAGTCGGCTCGCAGAAGAGGTAGATGATGAGGGCGATAAAGGAGGTGTATCCGTGAAGTAACCAGATGTTGCAGGTGAAGTTGCTATTCCTAACTTATCTTTGATTGGGGCTGTTATTTTTTCGGGGTCGTTCACATTCATCTTTCTCTTAGTGCAAAAACTTTCTTCGGCCTGTTCGTGTCGTAAAGCAGCACCAAGCTCATTAGCTTCATCCGGCATGCTGCTCTCAAAATTTTTCAAAAGTGCGACCTCATGTGGAGTCAAATCTGTAAAAATTATGGGATGTCCAAGAACTTCTTCCATATCATCGACATCAGCGATGCTCGAGACCTCTGAATGCGATGGAGTGTCATCCTCTACTTCCTTTGAGGACTTTTTATCAGAACGGCTCTCCACACCCGCATGAGGTGGAATATTTTTGGAGCATAAGGCGGAGGATAAAACGGCACGTTGTTCTTTACACCAAGAAGCAGTCCTACTCCGGCTGTCTTCACTTCTAGATCGAAGAGTGCGATTGACGAGAACTTGAAGAAGTGCAGTATCAGGCAAACTGTTTTGTTCGGTTGGAAGTTGTGCTAGGTTTGAAAATTTTTTGGAACCATTTGCTCGACAGGAACTGCAAGTAAACAGATTACACTCGCATTCATTCGTTGAAGACCAGAGTACGTCTTCTTCTTGCAAACGAACGGAATTGAACCAGCAATCTGTGTCAGTATTCATAGTAAAATTTTCATTGTGCCATATGTCAGCAAGGGTAGCGGGATCTTCATGATGTTCATAAATGTTCATTAAAGCTTGGGTGTCACTCAAGTCCTCGCTGTCAGGAAACAGTTCATCGTGAAGATTTTGTTCACAAGACTGATGGGTTGAAGTCAATGTTCTGAGAGCCGGATTGCAAATTTTACATCTGAATGAAGCTTTGCCACCGGAGGAGCGGTCGGGGGACACAGGCGCCATCAACGATTTGATTTTTTCCACTTTGGCTTTAATTTCAGGGTTTTCCAGGAGATGACGTTTATCACGTAGAAAAAAATTTATTTCTACGAGGGTGGGATCATCGAACAGGAAATGTTCATCTGAGGCAGCGCTGTGGAAGTAGGGTTTATTATGAGCTTTGATTTCCTCCGCTCCAGCAATCCATCCATTCATCTTTTCCAATACCTCCCGTAACATGGTGAGACTGCCACCGCTTGCCATGTTCAATCCGCTGACGGGTATCTGAAAGGAGCAGAAAATTTTACACATTAGTTTTTATTTGCAAATTTTAAGTAAGACTCAGCATAGCTAGCTGCAAAAAAGCATAGGTAATCAATTAGGTAAGGATTACTTTTTCTACAATAGAACAGGATGACTATTTTTTGAGATTAGGTAAAACGACTATTACTGTAAAGTTAGGCATATGCTATTTACACGACGGCAATGAACAGACATTGACGAGAATGAATCTTAGTGAATCATTGCGAAGAAGACACAGCAGTCACCAAGCCAGTCATAAGCATAGGCGAAGGAGGATTTGCTAAGGAAGCAAAATATTGTACGACCGTACGTGCTTCATTCTTTAGGAAAATCTAAGTACGACCATGCTGATATCGAAGGCAGAACTGATCCCGCTATCCAGAAATGAAGCTTATCTTCAATAGAAGTTGAGTTATTTTCAATAGAAGTTAAGTGGCGATTTACGATAAGAGACGAGCGTACTCCTAGCATAGAACTAGGCGCCGGAAAAAGGTACTCAGGTCCTCTGCACGATGACGGATAGTAAACAGGGATCTTAGCTAGCAACAGACTCCCTTTGAGCGTCATGCGCTCCCGTGTGAACCTCAACCTCGGCGATATAAAGCACCACGCTGGCGAGTGAGCGTAGGCTCGTAAATAAAAAAAAAAACATCGTAACAATTGCAGATAATTCGTTATATATTCGCGCCAAATCGGATGAAAACTATTCGATTGGCACATGCCATGAGCGCTAATTAAGAAACGTGTATGCACAAAGTAGAATTCAAATCGAAGCAACACATTTTTTCGAAAACTGGCTCCCTAACAGAAAAATATATATTGGCGTTAGTTCATACTGTGAAACAACATTGAAGTTTAGGGAATGAACTCAGCCAATTAAGGTCTGCATGACGGATTATTGCACAAGTATCAAGATTGCATAAGTATCATAATAATCTTGTGTGACCCAAACAAACCACCTTCCTGACAACCAAAGCAAACCAGGCTTAGTTAGCCCCGAAGCAACGGACGTCCAGAAACGAAGTGCATGCCACGGCACCACAAATCGTTCCGGTGCAACGAAGAACACACGTCGTAGACCATGGTTTAAAAACTATCGAGTTCCTATTGATAATGAATTCAATTGTGACTACAAAATGGTTGGGTAATATCTCAAACTAATATTGAAATCTTCCACTGTTGCAAGATTGCATAACTAATAACACATTAGAATGAATTCAATAATAAACGCTCGGAAGATTCACCTCAAGGAGACTGCCTGCATGATTAACGCAGATAAAATCTTAAAGGATTCCCATATTCGGTGTAGAGTTCACCTACAATGAGGTAAGAATTGTAACATTTCCCATCCTCTATGGAAGGCCGGAAGTTCTCTAACCACAAGACGTCCGTTCCAAGACACTGGACACAGAAAACCTGAACTCTGGACGATTGCTAAACTCCTCTCGCTTTAATTCATTACAGGCAGGAACGAAAAGACCAACACAAACATAATAATTAGGTTCATACTAACGTAGCTCTTCCAATTCGAATAAATTGAGTTTAAACGATAATTAATATAAATGCATTAATTTACACGAATTTCATTCAATTAAAAAAATATATAGGTTTTTATTTTCAGCAGCCTTTCTAATTGTGAATGGAAATTTATAAGTTAATAAATTGAAACTGGAACTGTTAGGGACCTTTCAAGTGACGTTATACAATGAAGGCAGCATTCCCGAGGAGTTAAAAGACAGTGAAGCTAGCGATGGTTTCAGGGCATCATAGAGAAACAAGAGCATAGTGTGTGGGTATGGGTATGCCAAAAATGAGAGCGAGGTCCCATTGCGTATGGGAGCACACACTCGCGCACTCACACACTCTATAGGGGCACTGAACCTAGCCTGCATTTCGGCTGCTCTACAAGATTTTCTATCAGCTGCTTCTACTACAGTATAATAACGAGTTCAATTCCGTATGAAATAAATAACTGGAGTTATACCAGAGCAAGGTTGTTCGCGTTGAGGAATAAAAGTGATATGCGCGAAAAACGTAATTGGCTGAAATTTTTAGAGACCATAATCGAGTATTCAAAACATTTGAAACGAAAAGACGAGCATCAATATAATCGTATATAAAGCCGCTGATAATGGACATTAGAGACTGGAACCCATATATATTGAAGTCCTAATGAAAAGCGAATACACACCGAAATATCGATAGATTCATGACTGCTCAATTATTGATACGAATTACATGACAGAGAAACACGGAACAGGCTCCCTGATTCTTCTCTACTTGCGAATAAGAGCTGAAGACTTGAGTATTTTAACGCTTGTGCGTATCTGCACTGCTATGGGTAAACCGGCATTCAGAAATTAAACCCACCCTTACAATTCTGAGAAGAAGCTTGCACGAAGTGACTGCAGGAATGACGCTGAGCCAAAGGTCACGTGTTGTGCTGACTCAGAATCAATAGAGGGTTGTGTCAGACTAGACCAACATCAGTTGATTCGCATGGGAATTTTCCTTATTTTGTGTCCATTCATCAAGCTCTCCCCCATGATGGTAAGGAAAACGATTTGAAACATAATAGAGAGCAACGAAATTGTAACCAAAATAATTAGGGAAATAAATAGTAATCACATCCGATCGAAATCAACAGCTGGTTTACCGTAAAAAAATTCAATAGAATTATATGAAAAAGAAACGGTTATTCCCATTGAAATTAATGAGCAGGTAACATGTCCCTCGTCGCCCCAATCAATGATAGGGTTGATAGGTCCTTTCAGCTATCACTGATAAGCCAACAAACAGAATTCTATCGATCACTTACATTCCATTCATTGAGTACTCAACGTCATTTTGTTAAATAATTGTCAAATACAATGAACTTTCGTCCTTATAGTTATCATAAATATCGTAAGTCACAAAATCTCAACGTTTCCATGGACCATGACAGCCCCATAAGAAAATCTCTCCACGCTGTACGAGAAAAAGGAATGCAATTCAGCAATTCAACGATGTTCACAATTATTAGATTTGGATGTATACTCATATTACATACGTATAAACTTCATGTTTCTTTTTTTTATTACGCTGACAACATGAAATAAAATCATTTAACGAGGCAAATATATAATCGAGTATTTTAAATCAATACCCAATTGACAACACTAAATCAATACTTCTAAATTACTGCAGTATCTGTCAAAATTACAACAAAAAACGCATGATCAGTTAGCGCGCGCAAAAGAAATGATACAAAAGACATGCGAGACATGGCGCATGATATCCCAAGAGTTTAGAGTTTAAAGGGCCGGCCGGCATTGCTGCCTGGTATTTAAACTTGCAACACGTTTCGCGAGCGGCATGCCGGCAAGAGCGGTAAACATGTCGACAGCAATTAAAGTAAGCCACACCATGATTATTGAAACTATCGTTTTTTCTTGTTTCTTTTCTAAATCATTAATGAAAAAAGCTTCTGAGCTAAGATGTTGCTAGTATTACTAGGAAATATTTGATTAATAATGAAAGTCCTTTTCTTACCGTTCACATTTTATAGAATCTTGTACCGTTGCAATGACCTATACGGTGGTACGAGTCAGATTCATACAATCGACACAGAATGGATGAGATTTGTCTACATAAATATATTAGCACGGATTGAAATAATCAACTTTTTTTGAGATTGTCAATTAACTAATGCATTAATATTTTGAGCCCAGAAATCGGCGAAAGGTAAAATCAAAGCTGCATTGAATACCGGAGATGATAACTATACCGATTTCGTTTCAACTTCAGGTGCCGGTCGGCACTGAGCAAGCCGCTGTTCATGGGGGAACTAAGCATTTCAGAAACGAAATTTATAATAACTTAGTAGTCGCATTTCGAAAGCTCTGGAAATTTGCACCGAATTTGGAAAATCCAAATACACTAATGCCATGGTTTAATAGGTATTCATTTTCATTATAAAGGGATAAAATGGTCTGGCGATTCGAGGGTTACAGTTCGGGTCATCTAAACGAGTTACACATACATTGCTTCCTAGGACGGTCCTGGCTTTTCAATAAAATTTAAGACAACGTGATTGATTGAACAAAAATATTGACCTAGCCTATATACTATTGAACTAGTAGTTAAATTTGACCTAGATGCTGCCACTTAAAAATAAGCTTTGAAATGTGTTGATGAAATAAGAAAGCATTACCACTTCTAAGTAGGCTAACAGAAACGGGTAACTTGGTATGCCAAGTTGGTTAGAATACCGATTTAGGTATAACACGCTAGCTAGGCTACGTTTCTAGCCACTAGCCAGAATGGACGCGGGAAGTCGAATTAAACTCAATTATGCTGACCTGTGAAAAATCTAGGGAGTCATCGAAGATTTCAATTGAATTGTTGAACTTGCTGCGACGTTGATCCGTCCGATAATTCTTAACAGAAGGACTTCTATTCAAACTTCTTACACGTAGCCGCGTCATGGTGTCGACATCAGAATTTAGACGAGGAAAATTGCGGTAATTAGGCTAACACCGAGAGTCACAACAAAAATTTGAAATAAATGTCACTGGAACTTTTTTCTTCTTCAATGAAATAACGCTTTTAGTCTAAATTTTTAGAAATAAGGTGCTTAGTTAAAAGTTCAATGATATTCACTGGATATTCAATCAAACATTACAGGAAATGAGATGAAAGTACAAACAGATGTGCAGTGCTGAAATTTTAGTGCACTGACTTAATAAAGAAATTTATATTTGCAGATATATTTGATAAAGTCATAGTCACAAAACTTGACAAGCTTTGATTTTCAGTTTTAGGCAAGTATCGGGTTATGGTCGTTGCGGGTGTGGTATCAAACCCGGGATGTAGCACGGTGCGCACCACCAACCAACACCGTGGTCTCGCCTCTACTGACTGCTAGCGCGAAGAGCACTGCGATATGAGGCGGGAAGCGAGGAGACTTGTTCTGTGTTGCCATTGACAAACGAACGGTGCTG